GTCTCCAGCCTGGAGCACTGCATGGGACTTGTATGACCAAAGTGCAAGAAAAGATGAAACAGGAATTCAGTGATCAAGCAAGTCATGCCAAGCTATAGTCAGACACAAAACTGCAGAGTCTTGTCTCCTACAAACCACCACACAGTGAACTCCCAAGGGGTTTGGCACAACTGGTACAAAGCTTGGTTTGGGTGGGGATTTATTGGGTTTTGGTTACATATTCTCTTCTTCTTTTGCCCAGTGGATACTGTGGAACACCAGTACTGAAGATCCCACTGCATTATCCATGTACATATACAGTATAGATGTGTTATGCCCTTACCATATAGAAGCTTCTGTTCCCACTGAAGTTGAACTCACACTGCATCATGTCAAAGAAGATAGGAATTGTTGCCTTCCTGAGCTCAGGCTCTGGGACCAGAGTTACCTCCAGCATTGGACCAACCATTGCTGGAATGAATTTGATTTTGTGGGGACCTGCAAGAAAATCAGAGTCAGATAAATCCTAATTGCAGGATTTGGATATCCAGAGGTTTCATATAAAGACCACGAAGCACAAACATTCTGCTTAGAATGTGTATATTTTATGTGGTAATAACTACTTAAAGCTCCAAACTTCAGGGATAGGCCAAGAAAATAATTGAACTCAATTACAAATCACAAAGGCTTTTTTAAATATTCTATTTGCCCTTTCTATGGCAGAACACCCTTTATAGGGACTCTAAGAAATTGTCTCAGCAGCTAAAATGGTGAAAAATCAGCTATTCACAGAGACAGGAGAAGAGATTTTGTGCGCTGAAACCGCTGAGCCTTGTGTCTTTCTCCACATTAAACATCTACAGCTTTGATACAGAAATAAAGGATCTGAAACTCAGCTTGAGAGCTTGGATAAAGACTTCAGTTGAAACTCACCCAGGTTATACCACATATCCCTTATTTTGAAGCCAATTTCTTTCCTCATGTCTCCATACCTAGAAAGAAAGTATTACAAGATGACAAAGGCCTAAGCATTGAAATTACCTTTGCAATATTGCTGAAGAAGTCAATGGCAAACCTACAAAAGGCCATGGGCTGCTCTGACAAGGCCTGAAGAGTCCCTGAGAGCAGAACAAACCTGCAGCACTGCAATACCACCCAGAATTTTGCTGCATTTGATGTTTTTCTGCGGGGAGTGGCCTGGCTGCTCTCAGCAATGACAAAGGCCTAAGCATTGAAATTACCTTTGCAATATTGCTGAAGAAGTCAATGGCAAACCTACAAAAGGCCATGGGCTGCTCTGACAAGGCCTGAAGAGTCCCTGAGAGCAGAACAAACCTGCAGCACTGCAATACCACCCAGAATTTTGCTGCATTTGATGTTTTTCTGCGGGGAGTGGCCTGGCTGCTCTCAGCAAGGCTCCAGCGTGTCTTGTCTGGAGAACACGCTAAGCCAAGAAAACTCTTAAGTATTTGTGGAAAACAACAAACAGACATCTTGCTTGCATCAAGCTGCGTCTCGTCTCTCCATCGCGACATTTCGCCCTAAAGATTTAACTGCTGACATGGAGGGAATGCAAGAAGAGTTGATTATCAACTTTCTTGAAGCTAGTACTGCAGGGAAAAGGCACCATGAACTATGTATGCCCTAACGAAACTCTATGTCAACATCCTCAAGAGATATTCAGGCACTTGATTGCAGCTAAATGCACAAGTAAAAGCTGCTCAGTGTCTGTTAATTTGGCCAAGTTGCTAAAAATTGCTATTTTTGGGGTATGGATGGCTCTGAAGGTCTCACTCTCAGTAAAAGCAAAGGTGGGGGATTAAAGGGGGATGGACTCGATGATCTCCAGGGTTCCCTTCCAACCAGAACTAGCCTGTGATTCTGTGATAAAAAGTTGAAAGGCTTTTAGGATTCTTCTCACCTACCTTATCTAAAGGCTGAGGAATTAATTGCACAAGGCAACTTTGGGAGCTCTGGCAAAGCTCTACTACAGACCTTACAGTGGGCAGAATCTCCTGGCAAGGTGCTCAAGTCCAGCTCAAACAACTCAGGATGTGCCTGATGAGACTTAGACATCCACAGGGTGAAGACCTGACACCTGTCCTGGTCACCCCTTTATCCTCCATCCATCAAACACTTCCCTGGCACAACTCCTCTCATCCTGAGGCTGCACAGGGACAACTGGAACAGCACAACTGAGCAGGAAAAAGACCTGAGAGGTTTGAAACGTGAACTCACTTCTTGACAATCTTGTTGCGTTTGGCTTGGGAGAAGGTCTCCAGCTGGAGGGATTCATGGGTGAGGAAGGCCACTGCCAAGTGGAAATAGTTGTTCCAGAGCTGTGGAAGAGAAACAAGTCTGAAACAGGAGAAACCAGAGGAAAAACAACAACCAGCACAGCAGAACTGCACAGCCCCAAGTGCTGTTTGCTCCCATGTAAGTGTTAACAAGGAGGTGACCCAACAGGGACCCGTGGAGCTGTTAACAGTGGGATTTACTTGTTCTTCGTGCCTTTCAGGTCTGGAGTCTATGAGAAAATCCAGAAACAATGGAACAATTACCTGGAGTTCAAAATTTGCTGGATCCAGGAAGGTATGGTTGAGGACACAGGTAAATTGGTTCACTGCCCGGAGGAAAACCCTAAGGAGATACAAACATCAACTAAAGGAGGCTCTGGAAATAAATACCACTGCAGATCTGGGTTTAGGGCTCCTACAGGCAAGCTCAGGAGAGATGCTCCCAAAGAAGGCAGGAATTCCTCTATAATCTATTTCTTTCCCAGCAGAGGAACATTCAGGGAAAGTTACTCCTTGGTTTAATGGCCTCAAGTTGAACCAGGGGAGGGTCAGGTTGGATATTAGGGAACATTTCTTCACTGAAACTGTGGCTAAACATTTGCACAGGCTGCCCAGAGCAGTGGTGGAGTCACCATCCCTGGAAGTGTTCTGAAAGCAAGTAGCCATGGCACTTTATGATATTACTTAGTGGGAATGGTGGGATTTGACCAAAGATTGGACTTGATGATCTTGGAGGTCTTTTCCAACCTGAATGATTCTGAACAAAAGAAACCTTGACTGGAGGCAGCTGAAAAACAAAACGCTTTTTGAGTCATCTAATCTGTTTATCTCTCCAACCTGGGAGCTCCTCTCCAGTTCGGCTCATCCTCAGTCCTGAACCATTCGAACAACTCCATGTCCTTGCCCCACTACAACACAGTGAGGTTACTCTGCCTCTGTTTTGGAGCTGAGGTCAGATGACTCTGCCATGCAAACAGGATGCTGCCATGCTTGCTTGCTGTCCTTCCCCAGTTCTGTAGATCCTGCAGCAAACTTAGGGGTCTCTAGGCTCTCCCATGGTGTGGATAGCAGGTTTTGGCCATGCTCTGCTACCTTGCACAGATATTACAAGCCCAAGCCACTCCAGTTGTACAGACTGACTCACACAAGGCCAAATCAGGTACACCGCAGAGGACAGAAGTGAAGCTGGGTAGGTCTAGCTTACAGTCCAGCACACTGAACCCCACACCACACTTAGGGCCAGCTCCAGCTTTAGGTTTGCCATGTGATTCCCTCAGAATTGAAACCAAAAAGGCTTCTCTGATTTATGCTGCCATTCCCTACAGCAGCTAAAGACTGGATGAAAGACTTCAGGGCTTGATGGGAACCTCTGGGCAGGAGAAGGATTTCCAGTTCCATCAAGAGAAATGCACAGGAACTACAATTTACTGAAATCTAATTTAAACTACCCTGACAAGGAAAATAAGCCTCCTGGTGTGAGTCACTCTCCTCTCAGAGCCAGGAAGGCTCCAAAGCAAGACTTAAAATAGCCCTGACTCCATACCTGCTCTGCATCATGTTCATGACCATCCAGTCAGCTGCATACACATTTTTTCCAATCAGATCCTTAAACATGATGAATGTTTCCATCAGGAAGTCCTGTTGGAGAAATAAACCCCACAGCCCATCAGGTTCCATATGGCAGTTCTTTCTGCACATAAAGACATAGGGAAATGATTCTATGATTCCCTGAGATGCAAATGTTTGCACTGGTTAATGACTGCACTGACTAGCAATCAATACACTCCTCCTAGAAGGATCTCTCATTGTGTGAGTATATGCCACTAACTGAATTATTTCTGACATCTCATCCATTCAGTTGCACAGGAGAAATAATTCCACAGCACATGCTGATCTGTTTAATTAAATCTGCCCTGGCTGCTTTGAATTAAGCTGTGTTGGAAGGAGTTATGATGCCCAAGCTGGATTAAAAAGCAAACCCAATATTCATGGACTTGCTTCCAAATCTCTGACTGTTGACAGTGAAACAGCAGGATCTGCTACAAAGATGGAAATTGGAGTGTATTTTCACTTGCTCAATTAGTTAAGTCTTTTCTGGTCCAGTTGAAGAAGGACATTTAAAGAGAGGTGGTAAACGTGGTGTGAGAGATGTGCTTTAGAGCATTAGTGGAGAAAAGACTCATTACACACTCTCCAAACAAGACCTAAGACTTGAGCAAGGCAAGGTTGAACTGCAGAATGAGAAGGAAAAGAGATGAGCAAAAGAAGGTAACAGCAAGAATATCGATCTCTACTTTGTGGTCTCTCCAGATTTAAAAGCTACCTAGGAGCACTTAAATCAATTCTCTTCTCTACAACGACAGCACATTAGCATTCAAAAAGGGGAGGGACACAGAGAAGGTCACAGACGAAACCACTGCCTTGCAACAGTCATCACAAAAACCCTTGTGTGGAGCTGAACAGTGTGCTCTGAAGAACTGGCAGGTGACATGATGGAGAGAGAAATGGGCACTTGGTGCTGCCTCAGTAAAAAACCTTTAGGCATTATTAAATCAGAGCTTGATGGAAAGCTTTGGACTTGACACACAGGGCACCTTGAAGGTATGAATGAACTCCTAACAGTGTTAAACCAAGCAAGTAATGATGCAAAGCCAGGGCTGAAAATACCATAGCAAATAAACCTCAACAATCAACATCAAAAACAATTACCGGGGTAAAACAAAATATATTGGTATGAACAACAACTACACTAGCACAAAAAAGTCGGTTTGATTCTAAAAAAACAGATTAGAAATTGTTACTTTTGATCAGTTCCTGTTTAAATCCATCCCTGCCCATGGAGGGGTTGGAACTAGATGATCTTCAAGGTCCCTTCCAACCCAAACCACTCTGGGATTCTCTTCTATGATTCTAACTGAATAACCATGTAATTCACCCTCTTGCTGTGGCTTCATGTAGGAGGTTTATGCAGCCACACAGACAAAGGGAATGTTCCCATGTGAAGCAGGAGATGCAGAACTACATGGTAAAACAAGACAGCTCCAACCTGCAAGCTGAGCTTTGGAAGCACCTGTTTAACCTTACCTTGAGGTTGTTACACAATGGTCTCCTACTCACTCACCTGCTCTTCAGGAAACAGAACAAAGTCAGAATTGAGTCCCACTGAACAACGAATCTGTTTCAACTCTGCCTTGAATCCACCTTTTCCCCACATCCCTCAGCTTTGCCTTCCTCAGACACAGTGCCTACATATCCCTCCTGAAAACCTTCTCACTCATGTACTGAACACCTGTAGAATTCCTGAACCTGTTTGATTTGGCTTTGTTCTTCCTCCACACTGAATGGTTTGGGTAACACGCAAAGCAGTTCTAAGCCCAGCTGCAGAGTGTGACCTGTAGATGGCTGTGTTGCTTCAGCTTGCTCAACAGACTGCGAGCAACTCCAGCTGCGTGTGGGGGAAAAAGAGATCACCGTGGCTTTCAAAATAAATTACAAACCTTCTGGTGGGTTTTGACACAGGACAAACACAACTCCAGGCTCTTCCCCAGCTGTTATTTAAATAACCAAGCACTTCTCAGTTGCCAAGCAAGTATTAAGGGGACAAAAAAGCCGCAGTAGTTGCTGTGTCATGCACCAAAGTCCTGTTTAAACACTGGTTTTACCTTGTTCTGGGGAGTCTGGAGAAAAAACTGGACACAGCTGCTAGTTTTAAGGGCCTCAAAAAACCCATCAAACAATGTTACACCTGGTTTAATATCCGAAGTGTTTGGGGACACGAATTGTACACAGTTTTTACCACGGAGCGAAGTACTTGCAGTGCTGCTCACTAAAGCAAGATTAGAGCATTTCATTAAACTTGAGAGGAGGGAAAGGATCAGAAAAGAGAAGAGGAGCACAGAGAGATACAGTGAGTGTGGGAGAGGGGAAATGCTATGCCTTTTCATCTTCATCTACTCTTATGCTTCCTGACTTAAACAGTCATTAAACATGTTTTTACTCAACACTATAAATGCTGTTCTTGGGCTCTACTGAATCTGCAACAGTCACTGTGATACCTAGGAAGGGTGGCATGAATCAATCCCCAGGGGCTGTGGCATCAGGAGCCCAGTAATCACTGCTGATGGACACAGTTTAATCACCCCAAAGTGAATCCAACAACTTGCCATGCCCTTTCAGGAGCCCTGTGTGTTGATGCCTTGTGGCCTGAGCTAATTCCCCAGACAGACTGACTTACAACAATGTCCTGTGTGGTTCTGAAAGTAGCGATGTAATGGCTGTAATGGAAGTCATCCATCTGCCTCAGGATGGCTGTCATGCAGGCCACAAAAATACCCTGCAAAGGGGGAACAAAACAGTAGGTTATTTGCCTGTAGCAAGCACTGTAACCTCCAAGTGTGGCCTTGAGCATCTTGGTCTTGTGAGGAGGTGTCCCTGCCCAGGGCAGGGGTTGGGACTAGATGATCTGTAAGGTCCCTTCCAACCCCTAAAATTCTATGAGTCTATATGCTTTCAGAGTTGTCTCATCAAATAGCACTGATCACAGCCCTGCTTAGCCATGTCCTGACATCACTCTGTGTGACTCTTTAGTCCTCTAAACCAGGCAAGACTCCCTAAAATCCAAGCCTGAACTCTGGCTATTGCTTTCTTCCTTCCCAGTGATCAGTCTGCAAGAGAGACACATCCTCCAAACAAAGAATTTAGATGTACACAAAGCATTTCATCCTATCTTCAGGCTCTTTTCCAACCCAACTGATTCTCTGATTTAGCAGAGTCACCTGCAATTCTCATGGGTGACATATTAATGTGACTTTACAGGTATTCAAAATAAGAAATATGCCCAGATTTTGATTCTTCCATCTTTCTGTCCATGAAATTCAGGGCAAATTAAACCATCTCAACTGCTTATACTTTCTAAAATACCAGAATAAAATACCAGATAATATATTATGCTTTCTTAGATATAAATATAAGTATATACACAGTTATATATTAGATTTCTAAGATACTTCTACTATTTCTTAGATACTTATACTTGCTAAATACCAGGTAAGCAGTTAGAAGTGCCCCTTGGAAATACTCATTCTTCAGCATTTAATCCTGCTCAGCCCAAGTGACAAAATCCAGCAGAGATTCCCTCCTCGTGTGTTAGAAACTTCACTGAACCCAAATCCTCTGCACAAGGGCCCAAAGGCACTGGAAATCACCCCCCAGTGAATGAGCAGTGTGTGCAGCTGCAGGAGGACAATTTATACCCTAATCCCTTGGCTTCAGAGACCCACCAAAAGCCATGCCTGAGTGGCACAGAAGCCCTGCAGGAAGGATGACTTCATAAACCACTGCTACACACTGAAATCTCCCAGGGGAATCAATTCCACTATGAGAAATGGTAAAGGAGGAAGGGAAGGAAGCCAAAGGTCCTCACAATGTGTGGAGACTGTCTGCTCATGCCGATCACCGTGCGGTTTATCCTCCTCAGCAGGCGCTCCATGATCAGCTGGATGTGGAAAGCAGTGGGACCCTAGGGATGAAGGAAAATGAGACACCATTCTTCATGTACACTGCTCTAGAGAGAGCTCCCTGGGTGGGAGGACTGCCCTGACAGTGGTTAATTGCAATTATGGGAGCAAAAAAGGAGATTTAAGCACATGAGCAATTGATTCAAGTACTGGAGGTGGTCACTTGGTCAAGAGTTTGCTTAATTGATCTGTGCCAGCTTCATTGGCGTTGTTTTCCCTGAGCAGCTCTTCAGTTCAGCTCAGTCTGGGCTTTGACTTGGCTTTGTTTTCCCTGAGCAGCTCTTCAGTTCAAACTAGTCTTTTCACAGCAGCTAAGAATCCATGAGCAATGTGGGAAGTGCATTCTCCTGGCTGAATCGGGATCACTGTTCCTACTTCATAGCAGAGAAAATAGGAAACCAACTACTTTTATGACTTGCTCCAAATTATTCAACAAGTCACCAAAGCAACTGAGATAACATTCTGGTCCCTAGAAAGGGAAGTAATTGCTCTTAGTACTATAGTGATAACAACTAATTCAACCTTTCCTGGCTCCTTCTTAGTCACAGCTACTACAAAGAACTACACAGCAAAGCAACATAAGTTCTGGAAACATCACAACTTCCTAATTCTTTAAAGCATAAGCTGAGAACATTTCTTCTCAAAAGAAGAAGTAACCTGAATTTGCACCCTGGTCAGCTCATGCTCACCACATCTTTCCTATCCAGGACCTCCAGGACACTGCTAAGCAGCTGTGAGGATGCCTCATGGTCAGGCTTGTTGCAATGGTCATCCAGCTGTCCACTCAGCTGGTCAATGAGGAGGGGCAGAAGAGCATCTCTGCATTCTGAAACATCAAACAGAGACAGAACACCACATCAGGTTGGTCTCAGGAGGTTCTTCAGCATTCAGTATACATGGGTAGCACACAGGAGGTTTCTGCTCCTAACTTCATCTTGGACACCAAAACATGCTTAAAACTACTTGGGTTCCCACTAAGAGATTTGACAGAGTCATAATCTCTAGGTGGAATCTCAGAATGGTTTGGGTTGGAAGGGACCATCTAGTTCTAACCCCAATGGGCAGGGACACCTAATTTTCTTCCTAATATCTAATTGAAACCTGCTTCCTAATTTATAACATGTATATTGATCAACTAGCACAGTCCACTTCTGCCTCTTCCCAAACCAACACACTGGACCAGGATCCCACAGCACTGGACACTGTATAAAGACTGAATAGCAAAACCCACTTCAGTTCCTCCATGGCAAGGAGGATTCTAAAGATGGATTTAATGGCAGACTAACACTGATGACTGACATGGGAACGTGCAAGGCAGTTTTGTTTGAAGGGTCTGTGGCCTCATGCAGAATCCAGAGACTTCTATGTGCCACTTACCAGCCTGTTTGAACAGGTCACTCTCGACGATCTTAGTGAGGCAGTTGAGCTTCTGCCGGACGAGTTGGTTGTCAGGAATGCTCTGGATGAACTTGCTGAAGAGGACACTGCAAACCACAGAGTAAGGGCATGGTCAGCATTTCACCCAACCTGATCTCATCCTACACTTACACTGTCCTGTACCTGAGCAAGACACAGACTCATAGAATCCCACAATGGTTTGGGTTGGAAGGACCTTAATATCATCCAGTGCTACCCCCTGCAGTGGTAGGGACACCTTCCACTAGCCCAGGGTGCTCCAAGCCCCATCCAACCTGGCCTGGAACACTCCCAGGCATGGACCAGCCTGGACAACCTGTGCCAGTGCCTCACCACCCTCACAATAAAGAAGACAAGTAGTTTTGTCTCTGTGTGGTGTGGACATGTTACCTCCAAGTGATCTCCAGAAAAATTATCACAAAGCCCTGACTGCTTTTTAAGAAACTTAGCCCAGGACTTGTAGCAGAACTGAACAGGATTCACAAACTGCAGGTTTAAACCTCTTGAAATGAAGCTTTCATCCCAAGACACACTAGATATACCATAAGAACTTCCAAACAGACAATACTCTCTGCCCTCCCAGTGCCACCAAAGACAATCACACTTGAATTCATACAAAGTGAAAGTGGAATTTTGCAAAGCTTCAGCAGCCATTGCTGCAACTTGAAACATGTACAAGAGCAAAAGCACATCCTTGCAGATGCCCCTTTCATCAGGAGTGGTGATTCATTCCAACCCGAGATTCCACTGAATTAAATTCCATGGACATTTGCTGTCTGCCTGCTGTTTCCAAGCAAATTATTTCTGTCAGCATGAGGAGCATAGCTGGGAGGTTGAGGGCAAAGCTATGAATACAAAAGAACAGCAATCCACACAGGGTTGTGAATTCCCTGGATAAATACTTTTGGTTTCCTACCTAAGGCTCTGCCTTTGCCACACATTTCAGTTCACCTCAAACTTGCAAAACATCTCAACTGCCCAGTCCTCAAATTTTGGTTTTCAGTAGAATCTCAAGGTGTCTGTAAGAATCCTAGAATGGTTTGGGTTGGAAGGGATCATAAAGCTCTTAATTCCAACCTCTCCCATCCTACATTTACACTGTTCTGCACCTGGACAAGTCAGAGAGTCACAGAATCCCAGACTGGTTTAGGTTGGAAGGAACTTCAAAAATCATCCAGTTCCACCCCCTGCCATGGGCAGGGACACCTTCCACGAGCCCAGCTTGCTCAAAACCCTGTCCAGCCTGGCCTGAAACAATTCCAGAATGAGAAGTAGAAATGCACAAACTCCTTTGAACTACACTAACTTCCTTTAAAGCCCTGCAAGTACTTCCTCAAATTCATGCACAGCATCTGCATCTGCATCATCACATCACAACTAGAGTGGCTATTTTTAGCAAAGTTGCCAAAATTCTCCCCACCAGACGAGCTGGGTATAGGGAACAAAAACTTCATGGGGTTACCTGAGCTCAACAGGGTCAAACACCATTTTGACATCATTTATGATGCTTGGCAAGTACTTTAAGGCTGCACCCTGCAAGAGAACAGAACCAGGACATGAAACATACATGGCACAAGTAGTTTTTGCCAACAGAAAATATGAGAACACCAATAGGGAACTGGCTTAGGATCAGATTTATGCAACCAAAGATCTCCAACCACCTCACATCTGCAGTGCAGAGAGGAACAGTTGAAGGAGGAAGGATTCATGGATAAGTTCTTTCATTTTTGCAAACATCCTGCAGCCCTGGGGGTTAAGCACCTTACAGCCTGACCAAAAAAGCACTGGGCAGTTAAATTGGCTCTGTCCTGCCTAGTTTAGCCGGAATAAGTTATCTAGGCAGTAGTAAGGCTTTTATAAATGTAACATCGAGACAACTACGTGCAACAGCAACTCCAGGTCTGTCTGAGATCTTCCAGGGCTGCTGCCAGCAGCTCCTCTGACTGCATGACAATCACAGTTGGGCTTTAAACCACCCAAGAGCTAATTAAAAGTTCACAATCATCTTCCCTTCAAACTGAGAAAGGCATGTTGGCTGGAAGAGTGGAAATAAAGGCAGCAACCTGCAGGTCACTGCATTGGGCAATTCAGCAGCCTCACTGCATGGCTGCTCTGCTCCTCGGAGCATCAGCACGAGGTTCATCATACAGCTGACACCTGAAGAACAAGCAAGTATAAAAATCCAGGATACATCTAGAAACCACCTGTTTTTTCATAGCTTTAATTCCCAGCAGTACATTGATTTTTGCAGGAGGTGAACATTTCTATCTCCATCATTCTCAAGCTGGGTTGAAGTGTTTTCCACACTGGGGCAGATGACACCTTCACTGGTTGGTAGCTCTCACCCTTGCAGTGCTGATGGTTTTTCAGCAAAGCCTCAGTTCTGCTCTTTATGTGATAAACTTTAGGGTTTAAATATTCCTTTCCTGCCCCACACAGCCCATTAAAACAGCCCTTCAGAGCTGTGACTCATCTGAAGGGGTTTCACATGCCTCGGAGCTTGTTCCTCTTTCTGGCCCAGCCCCTTCCCAACTCTACCAGTTGATCTCATAAAAGCCGTTATCTCTCTCCCTGGAAATGATGGTTACCTTAATCTTGACAGCCTCCTCCAAAGGTCTGTCCATGAGGATGTTGAAGGAGAGGAAGAGTTTCCGTATTGCATCATTAAATTCATTCCCATCTTCACTCTTCCCATAGACACTACAGAGAACAGAAAGGGCTAGTTACACACATCCATCCAGGCTAGCAGTGCCACAGCAGCTGATTCCACAGGATTTTAGTCTGGGGAACAATATCTTAATGCAATCTCCTTCCACAAAGACATGAGGGTGGAAGTGGCATTGGGGATTTGGCAGGAATTTCCT